GCATTCACTTTGCATCTAGTTGTTCCCAAAATCGTTTAGTGATTATGGTCCTGACATTACGACCAGGATTTTTCAAACAAACCCAAACCAATGGCAAACTAACGAACAAACATAAGCAACGAAACCAGCCCAGTATGCCAATATATCCGCTGATTTAATTCATGCACCGAAATTCGAATTAAAAAGCCTCCACATTTGCAACATAGAGATAGGCTGTTGCTGCAGCTCACTGACTATTCTAGCTACTCAACCAGGTTGCGGAATTAATTTCCAGTTTCCAAAATTCCCGAATTATTCATTATGCTATCAGTCGGTCCAGCCAACTTGTGAGTTAGTCTGTCAGTCAGCGCAGCCAACAGATATGTTGCAATAGGAACCCAAACGATGACGATTGTATGATGTTCACTGACCGGAAATGTTGCCAATATGCCTGACGTTTTAAGATTCACAATTCTTCATTTCCGCTTGAATGTATTGTGAAAACAACAACAACAACAACACAGCCAACCTCTGTTGTATCATCCAACACGACAGGCAACTTTGGATAGGATTGAAAACTACACATCTGTAGTCGAATATGTGCAATCGTTTTGTGGTGATACCGGATTACGATGTTAAACATTTGTAGAGCATTTGCACACACAGACACACACACACCTCCTCACCCTTGCAAATACTCGATGGGAACTAATGTGGACATTTGTCTGTTCACGGGAAGTTCTATGCCACGGGGTTAGAGTATAATTGGAGTATCCATACAGTTATTCCGCCCAAGGTAGGTATTTAGAGGCAAAAGAGTATCGGTAATGCTTGGTTGGTAGAATCAATTATAAAGATACCCTCCTGGACAGCATACAATTTGAGAAGATTTTCGAATTTTTTGAGAGGCTCAGCAATGTTTGAAACATGGCCATGATGAAAACTAAACGACTTATGAAATAATGTGTTTCACGGGAATTAAAAATCGAGGAATATACTAATGACGTATTTAAATCTTATTTTATAAATTCCACATCCGCCTCGAGATCGTGACATGTGAATGTCAAGTTCAAGAGAAATTGTGGTTTGGTATTTTAAATTTAAATGATAGCACGTTTTTGTCTTCAACCCTCATTAGATAATAAAGCGGCGAACTCTTCGCCAAATATATTTACAAGACAGTAATTGAAGATTCGGTTGTTATGAATTACCTACGGAATGGTTTAATTCCCAGAAAACAAAAGTTACAGTACTGAAAATAAAACATCAAAATACAAAATACTACAACACTTTGTGTTGGGGGTATTATAAGTTCGATTGGGCCAAAAATTATGTAACACCCCGAAATATTGGCTTCCCACATAGAAGAGTATAGATGGATTTTCCTATCTCGCCGAGCTAAATCGATCTAGCTATGTATGTCCGTCCGTCCGACTGTCCATGTTAATTTGTTATTACTCTACAGGTCGCAATTATGGCCGATTCTCACAAAATTGAAAATGTGGGTGGGGTTGGGGTCAGAACAGAAGCTTATTGTTTTTGGAGGTGATTGCACAACATTAGGGGTTAAAATCGACCAAAAACAGAAAAATTTCCTGATTTTTCTGTTGATCTAGAGGTCGCAGTTATAGGGTAAGATGAAAAAACTGCAACCAACTTCAGACTGATATCATTTCTAAGTCACTCGTCCGACAGTTGTTAAAATTATTCCAGTGACAAGCGTTCAAAAGCATTTTGCTGAGAATTTTCCAGAAAAGACGTTATACGTGATGGAATTCAAGCGTGATAGTATTATTTCTTTATATTTGGCAGATATGGTTCGAAAAGTAAAGAAGCGTCTTGATCGAAACCCGCATCACAGTGGCCGAAAAATGGTTCGTGAGCTGAACATATCGCAATATTCCACTCGGCAAATAAAGAAAAATGAACTCAGAGTAAAGCCATTGAAATTCCAAAAAGGGCAAAGACTTACACCGCAACAGAAAGAATATGGTCTCAAAAGAGCTAAAGATTTGCTTCGCTTGGCCCAAAGTGGTGAACATTTGTTATCGAGCAGTTTGTAAACAAACAAAATGATCGTGTTTACTTGTCAAAGAGGTCAGCTGAAAATGTGCACCTTCGGTTGGCCACCATAACTCAAGCGACGGGCATGGTGATGATTTGGACCGCCATAACAGCCGATGGTCGCTCTCCGTTCGTATTAATCGACCGTGGCATCAGGCATCAATAAATGCTGAATATTATCCCGTAAATATTCTGGAGGGTGGAGGGTTAAAGCCTTCAGACCTTGGACATTCCAACAGGACTCAGAACCATCGTACTCAGCACGCACCACCCAAGAATGGTTACAAAATGAGGTTCCTCGCTTCATTTCCAGCGCACAATGGCCACCAAAATCTCCGGATACCAATCCGTTGGACTATTTTTTCTGGAGTATTTTGGAAAGCAAGGTGGCACTAAAAAATACCAAAGTGTCACCTCAAGCAAGCGCTTCGCCGGGAATGGGCCATAATACTGCAGAGCAACGTTCGGGCAGCGGGTGACGGTTTCATTGGCCGTTTGAAGGCCATAATTCATGACAAAGGTGACAACTTCGAACAAATCAAAACTCATTTTGAAAATTTGATGATATTTCCGATATTTCTTGCTTTCATTCAATAAAATTAAAAAAAAAAATAAAATTATGACGTTTGACTTTGTTGCCGTTTTATACCCTACACCACAAGGTGGTTAGGGTATTATGACTTTGTGCATTTGTTTGTAACAGGAAAAGGAAACGAGATAGACCCATAGTTCCTTTTGATGATCTGCATAGAATCACATTCTGAGCCGTCTGTCCATGTATTTTTGTAAACAAAGTACAGTTCGCAATTATTGTCCTATCCAGATGAAATTTTGCACAAATCATTTGTTTGGCCCAAGGACGAACCCTATTGAAATTGGAGATAATCGGTCAAAATTTAGATATAGCTCCCATATATATCTTCGTCTAACTTGCCTTTTATTGTGCACCAAACGTGTAAGATCAGCCCGAATAGTATGAAATTTTGCATATACGATCAGTATGCCAAATTTGATCGAAATCGGTTCAGATATAGCTATAGCTCCCATATATATTGTTCATCCGATTTGTTATTTTTGTCCTTCGCAGCCGTAATATGCACTCTGTTACAACAATATTTGGGGAAATATATCAAATACACCCCAGAAGTACATTTGCAAATTTTATAGCGATCGGTTCAGATTTGGATATATCTCCCATATATATCTTCGTCCGATTTACCTTTTATTGTGCACCAAACGTCTAATATTTGTCTAAATGGGATGGAATTTGGCACTTACGACCGAATTTAGTCTAGAAGCTAGTAGTTCAAATTTGGTGAAGATCGGTTCAGATATAGCTATAGCTCCCTTATATACTGTTCATCCGATTTGTTATATTTGTTACCCACAGCCGTAATATGCACTCCGTAACAACGATATTAAGGGAAATATATCAAATACAGCTCAGAAATATCTCTGCGAAATTTTATGGAGTTCGGTTCCGATTTGGATATAGCTCCCATATATATTTTTATTCGATTAAAAATAATTGTGCACCAAATGGGCAATACAAGTCCGAATTTAAAAGATTTGTTAGATATACTACTGAAACCAATTTTTTGGTATTTTCTTAAAGCACCTTTCGAATTTAACCCATAATCATGAAATTGAAAATGTTGCTGGGGTTATGGTCAGAATAGAACCCTATTGTTTTTGGAGATGATTGCACGATATTTAGGGGTTGAAATGGACCAAAAACAGAAAATTTTCCTGATTTTGCTGTTGTTCTATATCACAATTATGAACCAATCGACGCGAAAATTTACATGGAGTTAGAGTTTAGGAGTGAGCAGAAACCTACCAATTTGTGCGGCCATCGGGTAGAATATACCCTAACTTTTATGTAAGAAAATAGGAAAATTTCAACTAAACCGCGAATATTTTCAACCCCAGTCAAATCACAAATACATTAAAAGATCACTTCTGACTATTACAGTGATGCTAATAGCCAAGAAATCGGATATATATAGCAAAATAGGTACAATATGTATGTAAAAGAATTCATCTTATTTATTCTGCCTATAAATCAAGAACCGCAATTCTTGTCATATTTTTTATCGCATGCGATTTTTTCAATTTGACTTACAATTTTGAATTGTAAATTTTCTAAATGTTTACACCTTTCAACACTACGTTTTGAGGGTATTATATGCAATTATCGTGCGATCCTCACGAAATTTGGCATGGGGGTAGGGTGAGAATTTAAGCCTATTGTTTATAAGATGCACATTTAGAGGTGCAAATGGACTAAAAAACTTAATTTTTTCTAATTTTGTAGTCGCTCTATAGGCCACAATTGAAACTGGTCAACACGGAATTTCGCATCGGAAGAGAGTTAAGGACAGGGAAAAAGTCTAGCATTTTGGATGACCATTGGATTATATTTAGCTGTAAAATGGATCACAACTTTTGCCAAATTCTCCGGGCCAATAAACTAAGGGTAACCTCTGGGTGGGGCTCTTTGACATTATTTAAAAAACGAAATTTCCAAAATGGATTTGGACATAAGGGGGCTTCTAACATATTGTAGTGTTGTAGGGTATCACATGGTCGGCCCCGCACGACTATAGCCTTTGCTTACTTGTTTATTCTTACCGATTTGTGACTCCAATGTTAATTGAGTTTCTAACTAAAAGTTCCTGAAAGCCCTATTAATGACTCAACTAGGGTTAATTTGTTTCACTAAAATGTCCCCCTACCTACCTCGAATATGTCTATAAATGTAAAAAATGGCCGGACCTTCCCGCCCCTTCGATGTAAACTTTCGAAACGCCAATATACATTTATCATATCCTGTACTTTTCGATCTGCCAAGAATATTTCTTCGCGCTAATATAATATATTATTGAAATAAAAGGAAGAAACCTACAATATCATACGATGATCGTTTAATTGCCCCTGACCACCTTTTCAAAATATTAAATTAAAACAATGCTACACACACCATTTTCTTATCTTTATTTCTCAACATTTTAGAGGCTACAACATTTTCTTAAAATAAAATAAAATCACTTCTAAACAAAATACAATCGAAGCCACCAACATCAGCGCAAGATAGGTTACAAACACCCCTTTGATCTTTGCAAATTCCACCGCCACAAAATGGACATCGTTGGGTGCATCAAAATAACTTGTATCCAAACTTTGTCGGGCCCAAAAATCTATGAGGCCCATGCTACGTAAACTCATTAGCAAAAAATTAATACGATTTATGAGAAACGAATGCTTCGAGAAATACATGGTTATGTGTTGGGTGAAAATCTTTTCGGGCAGGGCGAAAAATACCCCACGCTTTTTTTCCCTTGTGGCGTGATAAGTTAGAAAATCCATCGGCGATATGCCAGACAAGCAATTTCCCTCTCTCGTATTTTCTTCCATATAGAAAAATGTACTCTGTTCCGAGGTGTTTTTGATTTTAATGACCTCGATGAGGCCTTGTTCTATGCGCGGTACGGTGCCAATCGAGTCAAATGTGCCCTCCGTTGTCACCAGTTTACAGCCCTTGTCTATTAAATCTGAAAGACTTTGTGGTGGATCGTGATAGAGATTTCCCTTTAGCAGTTGGAACAACATCGATTGATAAGCGGTACGCATGAGTAAGCCATAAACATCCCATAATACAAGGACAAATCGGGTGAAATTTGATCTCGGCAATATTTCTAAACCTTGACCGAAAAATAGTTTAACAATATTTGTAACCGGTGTCGTCGGCCTCGGATGACCCAGTATTATCCGTACCAGTGTACATTTTCTATATTGAAATTGTAGCAGGTAACCTATTGCCATGACGATTTGAATACTTAAGATTAAACAAAGCCACGTTTTGTCATCGAAGGCGAATACTAAAATTTCCAGGGAGGTATAGGGTTGTGCAGTGCGCATAAATCCATATATTTGCCATGTTTGATAGTATGGCAATGCCGCCGTCATCAGTTGTGACCTCTCCAGGGTGTAGCGGAATGATCCCAAACTGAAATCAGCAGTGCGTTCTTGGAGCTGAAAGGACGAAAAGCAAAAGGTGAAAGAACGTATGAAAACAAGTCAAAAAGATAAAAGTTCGGCTGGGCCGAATTTTTAATACACTCCACCATTTAAAATGAATTTGACAATTTTCAAAAAAAAAAAAAATGGAATCCGATAAAGATTATGTTAAAATCTTAAAATATCGAATGTAGCCGTTATATTAGGGTCTATGCAAAGACGTGGAACTGCACAGACAATTTTCTGCCATAGGATGTATTTGCAAATTTAAAAAAAATACGGTAAATAATGTTGCTAAAATCACCAAAATACCGAATATCGGGAGGTGCCGTTATATGGGGGCTATACCAAAAAGTGGACCATTGGTCCATTTTCAATACCAATGCAGGCATAATATACATACTATGTTATAATTAATATAATTATTATAATATTTACAAGCGTACAAAAGCATTTTGGTGAGCATTTTCCAGAAAAAGTCATTCGTGATCGAATTCAAGCGTGATAGTGTTATTTCTTTATATATGGCTGGAAAACCACAAGTGGCTATCGCTAGAGCACTCCAGCATTTAAATGTGAATAAATCTTTTGTGTCTCGTACCATCGCTCGTTGAAAAATTAACTCGGGGTAAAGCCATTGAAATTGCAAGAACTTACTTCACTTGGCCGTGGCAACAGAATAAATGCCAAATATTATCGCGATAATATTTTGGAGGGTGTATTAAAGCCTTGGGCACGCAAACATTTTGGCCACAGACCTTGGACATTCCAACAGGACTCAACACCATCGCACTCAGCACGCGTCTCCCTAGAATAGTTACAAAATGAGGTTCTCGCTTCATTCCCAACGCACAATGTCTCCGGATCCCAATCCGTTGGACTATTGTGTCTGGAGTATTTTGGAAAGCAAGGTTGGCACTAAAAACTACCAAAGTATTGATAACCTCAAGCAAGCGCTTCTCCGAGAATGGGCCAAAATCCCGCAGAGCAGTGTGTGATGGTTTCATTAACCGTTTGAAGGCCATAATTCGTGCCAAAGGTGACCAATTCGAACAAATCTAAACTTATTCTAAAATTTAAAGCTATTTCCGACATTTTTTGTGGTAATTCAATAAAAATTAAAAAATGTAAAAATTATGGTGTTGAACTTTGCTGTAGTTGTTTTTATCTCACCCTGTAAGCCCAAATAGGATGGCATTTGGTATATACGACTAAATTGAGCCTAGAAACAAGCATGCTAATTTTATCAAAATCGATTCAGATTTAACTATAGCTTCCATATATATTAATCATCCGATTTGTTATTTTTGTCCTCCGCAGCCATAATATACACTCTGTAACAACGATATTTGGGGAATTATAAAAAATACAACTCAGAAATACCTTTGCTAAATTTTATCGAGATCCGCTCAGATTTTGATATAGCTCCCTTATGTATATTCGTCCGATATTCCTTTTATTGTACACCAAACTGGTACTTACGACCAAATTGAGTGCAGAAACAAGTATGTCAAATTTGGTAAAAATGTGTTCATAGCTCCCATACATACCGTTCACCTAAAGCCATTCTTATTTGTTTATAGAAACATTTGTTTCGCCCTAATTTACTGGAAACTCATGTAAATGAGTAGTGACTGACAGCCTGAGAATTAATGCCGAGACAAAACGACTGAAGCTAGAATGAAATTGAAATTTTGCACCAAAACCATTCTAGGTGCATGAGCGATTTTTAGAAAATTGTACGGAAAGTACTAAAACGTACTAATATTTAAATACTTTGTACTGGACAAACGGAATGAGTTAATATTCTGAAATTTGGAATGAGACTCACTGAACTCTAAGGTTACGAAAAGTTCGAAAATTGTACTAAACTTCCAGAATGGTACCATTTGGTTTTATGTGAACGGATAGAACTATAAACTTGAACCTTGGTATATATTTTGAATAATAATATTGAATTTAAAACAGCTAGATTTAGGGTGAACAAATAAAGCTGGAATTTGAAGTTGTAGGTTTTAGATCCCTTAAGTGGTAGGTTTTAGAATTAAAATTTGTTTTGAAAATGTGTACGAAAATTACTCTATTTCGTACGATTTGGTATTGTGTGAAGAGATTATGCTTGAAATCAGAAATTTTGTATTAGGGTCGCTGTTGATGTATAGCCTTGACATATGGATCTGTTTTCAGAAATGTATCTGGAATTGAGATAAGCTGGTGGTTTTGGAAATGTGTACAATAATTTTACGAAAATACTAAATTGGTATTGGGTGAAGAGCTGAAATTTGAAAAGGATGTCAATGTTGGCGTCCTATATTTGTACGAAAATTACTAAATTTTGTATTGGGTAAAAGGATGGGCTGGTATCCTCAAATTTGACCGCTGTTGGTATCTGAGACTTCGATATGGAGCTTGTACGAGAAGTACTAAATTGTAATTAATTTGGATTGTGTGAAGGAATAGAGCTGATGATATAGATGTCAATATTCAGGCCATCTATAGTTCAGGTATAGAGGGGGGTCTTTCCAAAAGGGTAAAAACATGAATAATATAGAAAACCTTGAAATTCTGAAAACTAAGTGCGAAGTATGAAGTTATGATTAAAAAAATTTGGTCAAAAATAAAAAAATATTCATTTTGAGTATTGAAACACAAAGTCTTGGAACAAATCTAAACAATTGCTGTGAATATTGTACCTAAAATCACCACAATACCGAATATAGGGAGGTAGTGATATATGGGGCTATACGAAGACGTGGATCTGCATAGGCAATTTTCTGTCGTGGGCTGTAATATCCATTACGAACTTCAAATATCAAATTTGAAACAATACCGGTGAAAAATGTCGCTAAAATTATCAAAATACCGAATATAGGGAGTTACCGTTATATGAGGGCTACACGAAGACGTGAACCTTCACAGACAATTTTCTGTCATAGGATGTAGTATTAATCACGAACTTCAAATATGAAATTTGAAACAATTCCGGTAAAAAATGTCGCTAAAATCATCAAAATACCGAATATAGGGAGGTACCGTTATATGGGTGCTATACCAAAACGTGGACCTGCATAGACAATTTTCTTTCCTAGGTTGTAGTACGCATTAAGAACTTCAAATACGAAATTTGTAACAATTCCGGTAAATAATGTAGCTAAAATGATCAAAATACCGAATATAGGGAGGTACCGATATATGGGGGCTACACGAAGACCTGAACCAGCATAGAAAATTTTCTTTACAAAAAATAATTCCGTTGAAAAGTTATACCGCTATACGTAAACGGCTACCTTTATAGCCCATTTTCACCACCAAAAATTAAGTAGAACAAACACAAATTTGAGTAAAATTTAATAAACATACTTCAATTCGTTCGGAAGCCAGTGTGATTTCCACAGACGGACGGACATCGCTAAATCGACATCGAATTTTATGCTGATCAAAAATATATATAATTTATGGGGTCTAAAATGCATTTTTCGAGGTGTTACAAACAGAATGACAAACTAAATATTACCTCCATTGAATGGTGGAAGGTAAAAAACGAAATAAAAGTTTACAACATTGGTATATATTGGTAGAGCTTAGCCACTTCTTTAATTTCGTCGCTAATTTATCGACAAATTTCGCTAATTATCGAAATTATAAGTTTTTGAATTTTACCGATTTTTCAGTAACTCCGAAAATGAGTTACACAATTCCACTATTGATGCATTTTCTCCAATTCAACTCACCATTCTTAGCGCTCCTGTCGATGTACCATTTTCCAAGACCTTGCCACGTTGTTCATTATTCGGCGGCTCTTTCAAATCCAATGTGAAATTCATTTTTTCCTCCAAAACCAATAGCAAGTCCGCTTCGAAATAATCAATTTCATAGAAACCATTATCCTCCGGACGATAACTTAAATAGGGTGGCGTTTCCCAAACGGCCACTGTCAACGGACATTGATGTAAATTGGCGATTTTCTCAGGGAAAATGTTCTCATGCAATGGCTTCACCCAAACACCAAGAAAACTATTTATGTGTTGGACATGCACAAATTTACAGGACACGTTATTGTAAAAAGGATAATATGTCAAGGCCTCTACACTGCCCGTTCGTGTGTTCACAATGACCACGGTGACGTTGACAATATAATTTTGCCAAAAATATGCGAAAATGTCACGTAATTGAATTTCCAGATTGGGAAAACGAGAAGCATTCATTAGATAGACCAAATAGACTTCTTGGATGTCATAATCTCGTGTACTGTGGCCGGGATCTAAACGTCTACAAGAAAACCATATTTTTGGTGTTTTTGAGTTAATCCAAAATTGAAGCCAATTAAATTAGCCGTACCTTAAAGCCTCCACACTGTCCACCACAATTAGATTGTATTTGCGATTAAAGGAGGGACCCCGTTCGCCATGCAAATTCTCCACTTCCACCTTAATCGAATCCAGGCAAAGCAACACATTATTGATGAAGTCGCGTATGTGCGGCTGTAGAATTTTCTCTTCGATATTGGTGCTCAGCATGAAACTGTTCGATTTCGCGGCAAAATAATCGGCCACAATGCTGCAACATGCCGCAATGGCATGCTGCAGGAGAACAGGTAATTCCGGGTCAGGAAAATTTTGCATAATTGATAAATTATGATGCTGCTGATGATGATGATGGTGAGGCTCTTCAAGGCTGGTTTGTTGGTCCAGCTGCTCTTCGTCGTCGTCGTTGTCCGTTTGTTGTTCAGATTCCTGTTGCTGTTATCCTTGTTGTCGCTGTTGTTCTTGTCTTACACAAATGACCATTGCCATCACGCTCAATATCACGGAAAATATTGCTAAACGCATTAACATCAACATCGTCGTCGAAGCAGTCGTCGTCATCAGCACCATCCGTGCTTTTGGTCCCCAACCACCAAACGTTTACACAAGTTTACCAAGTCTAAACGACTTCCGCCAGGCTGCCTGGTTAGTTGTTCGCCAACAAACTCAAAGTGAAAACTGATTTGAACTCGGTATTGCTTTGGTTTCCTTTCCTCGTTTGCACATTGTTCTCATTGTTTGCAACACTTTACGTTCTGTCAGGGGGTGTGTTAGTATGCGTGTGTCTGTCTGTCGGTGAGCGTCCGCGTGTGCCGGGGCGTATTTATGACTTTTGATGGTATTGACTTTTGCATGTGCTTGTCAGTTAACTGGAACAGCTTCAGGGGCAGAATATTTAAGTGGGATATATGCTGGGGAGGAATGTTTTCTTAAATTTTTGCATTGAAGTTTAGAGGACACGAATTTTTGTTTAAAGGAATAGGAGTGTTTCAGACTATCAACAAGTAAGGAAAAGTCAAAAGTCGGGCGGGGCCGACAATATGATACCCTACACCAATATGCATATTTAGTAGAGCTCCCGTAGCAAAAGAATTTATTTGAAGTAGATCCTAACACCGATACGATAGCCACTTGTGGTTTTCTAGCCAAAAATAAAAAGAAATCACACTATCACGCTTGAATTCCACCACGAATAACTTTTTTCTGGAAATTTCTCACCAAAATGCTTTAGTACGCTTGTAAACAATATAATGAGCTGTCACTGGAATAATTTTAACAGCGGTCGGACAAGTGGCTTAGTAATGACAGCAGTATGAATTTGGTTGCAGTTTTATTAAATTTGTTATTCCGTTCACTAATCACTAAATATTCTTCGGAGACTCTACAAAAGTATTTATTTATGATCCGCGTAAACGTTTTTGGTTTTACCATGAAAATGGAATATATCGGTCTACTTTTTGGCGATAACTCCCGATTTTTAGCATTTTGAACGCATCGTTCCCAACTTCTTATATTTTTGCGGATTATATTTTGGGTTCCCAAAAGACAGTTTGACACTTTCAATGTATGTCCGTTTTTTTGTTACAGCTAATGGACCCTATTGATTTTTGGTATTTTCCAATCAAACAAGCTTCAATGTAATATTTCGGGCTATTTGAAAGTAGAATAATTCCTCCCAGAAAATATTGAATATAGGATTTTGTTTCAAGTTTTCACATAGTGGAGGATATAAAATGTTCGGTCCAGTCGACCTTAATTCGTTTTAATTGATTTGTTAATCTCCCCTCAAAGTTCCACGCCCATGCCTTTTTGAAATATAGAGTTGAAAATATTTATTTAAAATATGCATATGAAATCGTCATAACTTGCGTGATTTGTTCAGTTGTATAAAGTGTACATCGCATAATTAATTTAATGAGTTAATTCGTTGTTACATTTATTTATTCACAGCCATTTGTTCACGCTACTTAAATTAGCATGAATTGGTGGCAAGAAGTCAATTGTTGATTACACTGAAGGAAAACATTCATTTTATTTTCATCGTTGATTGCAGGAAATATTTAATTTGTATACCCTCAGTCATATGGCTACATTTGATACGAGCAGACTATGCCTTACCAGAATAACGGTCTTTGTCCTCTCTTTGGACCAAATCCGGTTCAGAACGTGACTGGTGCTCTGATACCTCCACCACGATGGGTCAAAATTTGAAATATCCCAAACTCATAAAATGCGAAATAAGCATCCGATTCATTCGAAGCCTCACACATTTCAATATTTTCGCTAAGACAAGATCTGGTGCAAAGTTGGAATATATCGGTTTACTTCTTCTGGTACCTTCACCATAAAGGGTCAAAATTTTGAATATTTCAAAAAAAAAAAACCAGTAAAAAAGCTGTAAGTTCAGCCGGGCCGAACTTCACCATATGGAACGAAATAGGCAATTTTCAAAAAATAAAATCTGTTAAAGCCTTAAAAATACCGACGTGGACTTGCATAGGGAAGTTTTGTCATGAGCCATTACACAATATTCAAATGCGAAACTTGAAAAAAAGAAATCGGTGAATAATGTAGGTAAAATCATCAAAATACCGAATATAGGGAGGTACCATATGGGGGCTATACCAAAACGTGGACCTGTATAGACCACTTTTTGTCATAGGCTGTAGTATCCACTACAAACTTCAAATACCAAATTTGAAACAATTCCGGTGAATAAAGTCGTTAAAATCATCAAAATAGCGAATATCGGAAGGTACCGTTATATGGGGGCTATACGAAGGCGTGGGCCTGCAAAGACAATTTTCTGTCGTAGGCTATACAGGGTGAGATGAAAAAACTGCAACCAACTGCAGACTGCTTTTATTTCTAAGCCAGTCGTCCGACAGCTGTTAAAATTATTCCAGTGACAGCTCAATATATTGTTTACAAGAGTACAAAAGCATTTCGGTGAGAATTTTCTAGAAAAAAAAACATTATTCGTGATGGAATTTAAGCGTGATAGTGTGATTTCTTTATATTTGGCTGGAAAACCACAAGTGGCTATCGTTCGAGCACTTCAGTCCAACGGTCACACTCCGCTCATATTAATCGACCGTGGCATCAGAATAAATGCCGAATATTACCGCAAAAATATTCTGGAGGGTGTATTAAAGCCTTGGGTATGCAAACATTTTGACCACAGACCTTGGACATTCCGACAGGACTCAGTGGAATTCTGTGGTGGAATTCTCTAACTCATTTTTTGTAGTCGGTTAAATTAAATGCTTATAATTTCGGTAATTACGAAATAAGTCGAAAAGTTAGCGACGAAATTAAAGTTGTCAAACCAAACTTCTTTTTTATACCCTCAGCCATATGGCTACAGAAGGTATATATCATTTGATACGGTCAAAACGTGCCTAGTCGAAATAACGGTTTTAGACCCTAGGTCTCTTCGGACCAAATCCGTTCCAGAACATTTGGAGTCGATCTAGCGATGTCCGTCCGTCCGTCTGTCTGGCTGGTGCGCACAATAACTCTCGAAGGGAGTATCCGATTTCGTCCAAACTTGGTACATCGTAATAATTTTGTCAAACTTAAATCGAGTACGGAAATTGGCAATATCGGTCCACTCCTTCTGGTACATCCCCCACAAAAGGTCGATTTTGCTCCAACTTTGCAAATCCTAATATTTGCGTCAGTACTCGGTCAGGTGCGAAAATGGACAACATTGGTTCACTCCTTAAAGTACCTCCCCCACAAATGGTCATAATTTTGAGTAATTCCTACTCTCATAAAATTTGATGTAAGAGTCCGATTGTTTTCACATCCCAATCATTTTATTAGCCCAAGGTCTGGTGTAAAGATGGAGTATATCGGTCCACTTCTTCTGGTACCTCCACCAAAAATGGTCGAAATTTTAAAAATATATATTTTCTGCCCTGAAAGGGAAGCAATAATCAAATTTTAAAAAACATAGCGCTCAAAGAAAGGGAAATAGAGATCTAACTCTCTTCAAATTTACAAACATTTTTGCTAGCACCCGATCTGTTGTGAAGATGCTTATATCTGCGAACACCTGCAAAGGGACACAATTTTCAATATTTTTATCTGTCATAAATTGAGAAACACCTCAGCGATTCTTTACAATTGCTTTATCCATCTGCTATAATAATATTTATATCATATTTATTTAGGTCCGATACGAAATGAACAATATTGATCCATTCTTTCAAAACCCACTTACCCACTAGAGGGTGAAGAGGGCTGAGGGTATACATCTGTTGGCAAAACCGTCAGATAATTTTTTACTTGTTATATCAAAATTTTGGGTTTCAAAGTTACCAATTTTTGTCGGTAACTCAAAAATGAGTTAGAGGATCACACTACTGATGTGAATATTGAATACTTCTTCTGGTATCTTCCTCACAAGAGGTCAATATTTTGAATGATAAAAAACCCGTATACCATGTCAAATCAGCGATTTGCATAAAAATTCGTCTAACTCAATAATTCTGTTAACCATAGATCTAATAGATATTTCAGTCCACTTCTTCTCTTTAAAGTTCTAACTACCAATAATTTCTATATAATTATAAATAAATGTTCGATTTTCTTTAAATATTGCACATCCCGACATTTTCATCAGTCTTTGATGAAATGGAATACTTCGATCCATTATGTCTGTTCTAACATTTTCCAAAAATTAAATCGGACACGCTGTGATATCAGACTTAGGTTAGATACGAAATGGACAATATTGGTCTATTGCTTCGGAACCATCCCCATAGAGGTTCAATAGTTTACACAGGTAAAAATGTATTTTAATCAACTGATATAGCCTGAGGGTATAAATCTGTCACCAGTACCGACTGATATATTTTTTAACCTGTTGAATAATACATTCACATACGTGATTTTATTCCAAGTTAAAAATATTTCAACACCACTGTTCAATGCTGGAATGTTTTCTAAATTGTCTCCTGTCGCGTGTCGCAATGAAGCCATTGCATATCAAATTAACTTGTAAATACTGCTAATATGCTTACATACTAACCTGTCCGACTATGACAAATGTTGCAACTAATTGAAATGCGTGTATGAACATTTATATCTATAAGTCAGAGTAGGGAAGAGAGCTGCACCTACTGGAATGGTCAATGTTCGCACTCATAATAGTGGTACACTTTTTGGAGATTAACACTTTTTAATTCTCCCACCATAGAATGAAAGGTATTTTAAGTTTGTTATTTCGTTTGTAACACCCCGAAAGAAAAATTGTAGACCTCACAAAGAATATACATATATTCTTAATCAGCATTGAATTCTATGTCGATTTAGCGATGTTTGTCCGTCAGACCGTATGTGAAAATCGCTCTAGCTTCTAGTTACCTGGAACGCAATAAAGTAGGTTGATAATATTTTACTCAGATGTGTTTTATGTCTGCAGAACTTTTGGTATTGAAAATGGGATATATGGTCCATGTTTTAGTATAGCCCCATATAACTGCTACGAGAGATTAAATGTGTTTTGGTTGTTTTAGTCACAATTTTTTACCCGAATTTGCTGTAAATTGGCAGAACGCGTTCCCATTATGTGTGAAAAATGCTTGCTGTCAATATAGGTCTATATTTTGGCACGGTGCCCTTACAACGGTACTTCCCTACATTCGGAATTTGTAAGTTTGTAATGGATGCTATAACCTTTGACCACGTCCACGCCT